ATGTAAAACATAAATACAGTTTAAACACAGTACAATAAACCCTTTATAATAAACACTTCTCTACACCTTCACACTCTGCAATTATAGTCAGTGCTCCACATTTTCTGGGGTTAGAGGCACAGAGTAACAAAGATAGATAGATGATAGATAGATAGATGATAGATAGATAGATAGATAGATAGATAGATGTTAGATAGATAATTTTGCTTGAGAGAACACCTCTCTGGGAACTTTTAGGTCTTCCAGCACAGTTCTATAGTCACCTTCTACTGGAAGCTTACTATAGAATCCCACTGGAGGTCCTAGAGATTCCTAAAGAGGTGTTTTCTCTAGAAATCTCTGGAACCTCTAGCATGACTGAAGGAAGTTGACCATAAAGTTCCACTGGAGGATCTGGAGATATCTAGAGAGATTTTAATCGAATTTGTGAATAAATCATCTCCAAATGTCAAAATCTCAAATGTGGAAGATTGACTGTATTGTACAATTATTACATGGTATAAGATAAAAGGATGCCGGCTCCTTTCACACTGCACAATTTTAATGCCCTTTAACTGCCACAGTTTCACCGTTCCATTCTGTGAAATTATGGGATTAGCAGTTTAGGGAGAGGCATTTCGATTTTTCAAGTGCTTCTCCAAAATAGGAACTCCAGGAGGCAGTTGTGCCAATCCTAAAGTGGAATCCTAATGCCAGAATTGAATGCATGGATCGAGTTAGTGCGTCATTTTTCTTTTATTCTCTATCTCATCCCTATATCTTTAATTATAGTTTCTAACTTTTGGAAGACAGATGGGTTTTTCAAATTATGCACTCCAGTCATAAACTGAGGCCCCTTCTACACAGCCCTGTAACCCAGGATCTGATCTTACATCATCTGATTATCTCAGATTATCTGGTGGTGTAGGCTCATATTATCCAGTTCAAAGCAGATAATCTGGGATCGGAACCTGGGATATAGGGCAGTGTAGATCCTGCCACACTCATCTAGAAGTAAGGGCAGTCTTATGTCACTCTGTCTAGAAGTCTAATTATACATATTTAGAATGATGTTTCTTGTATTTAAATACTTATTATTTATGATGGTATTGGAAGACCCCCATCAAGTAGAGATTATGCCCCTGTGAGTCCGGACATGTAGAAACAACTGAGCACGTGCTTCTTCAATGTATATTCTGCAGAGACCTTAGAATTAATCTCATTGCACCATGGCTTCTAAAATATCCAGGGCACACTGAAAAATATTACTTCACCCTGCTGCTTTCAGACTCTAGCACTACAATAACTTACAGTGTTGCTAAGTTTTGTGCTGCAGCACTTAAAATTAGAAGGATGGTGATCAACCCTATAAGGCAACACCCTGTTGGGAATGTAGCTAGAGCAACCTGTTACAGCTGAAATGCTACTAGACTTGTAATGTGCCCCTCTCATCCCCTTCAGTGCCCCTCCCCAATGCTTTGACCCCTCCGATAGTCTTGCCCCACTCAATTCCATACCTATTACATTAACCCGTGTTTTTAACCTGTGTATTTAAACTATTTCTAATCTGTTTCTAAAGAATTGTTTCACTAGGGAGCTGTGTTTCCCCTTCCCAGGGTACTTGTGCCCCGCTTTGTGCTGATCAGTGACCATAATCAAGTTTTGTATTGTACTTATAATTTACAAAATAATATCTTAGTATTTGCACACCATAGTACTGAGAAACTTGTTCTACATCCTAATATGTAAAATAAAATGAATACATGCAATTCAACAGAATAAGCTGTCTGCTGTTCTTTTCTTAACATTAACTGAATTATTTTGGAGCTTTGGTTTATTTCAGCTTGAAAAATTATTTACATGGAAAAATAAGCATTGAGGATTATTAGGCATAATGAAGGTTGGACTTGCCAAAATAATGTTCTTTTCTTCATAGTGTGTAACAAGGAAAAATTGTAATATAATACAACAACAACAACAAAGGCTTTTTCTTTTCCAGTGTTTACAGAAGGCTGAGTGCAATTTTGATGTCAACCTTGCTGAGCCAAGCAAATCATCTGCAGCATCTTCTCCTCAATCTATTCTTCAACCATCTGCAGAAATAGTAAATACTTTCTATGCTTTACTTTCACAATCAACCATTTGTGATTTAGAGGGGAAAACACATTATTCAACCCCAGGACCTTCCAACTGTGTTGGGTTATAATTCCTGCCTCCTTATCCACCCACCATACTATTGGGGAATAATGAGAGTTATAATGTAACATGTCTAGAAAACACCAATTTGGAGAAGGCTGATACATTGCTTGTAAAATAAGATAAGTTATACTGTTAATTAGCAACCAGACTTTATAAATTGGTCTCATATTTTAACATGAATGGAGATGATCTACCTCAGATGCTTGACGTGACTTCCAGCAATTGAAATGGTGTAGGAGGAGGACACAGTGCATTTGCAAATCACTAGAGATGTGTATGGGATATATTTCCTATAGAGTGTTATGGTGATTAAAGATGTCAGATGTCATCTTATGTACATGTCCTTAGGAATAAGCATCCTTTTGCACTTACTTCAGGGCTGTCACCCAACATATATGTACTTCGGAGTTCACATGCAGTGTTTTTAGTTCTGACAGAAGTCAGAACCCAAAGTTATGGTTAGCTGACTTTGGACTTCAGAGAGTAAGAGCAAATAATGTGTACATATCCTTATTACGGCATTCCTTCTCTCTGTTTTATCACAGGGTATGGTTACTTGTTCTGTTTCTGAGGTATTGATTCAGCCAAAGCCAGAAGAGGCAAGTGCAGAAGACGAACGAAGAAAATGGGAGGAAGGCCACATTGACTATCTGGGGAAGGATGCTTTTGAAAACATTCAAAAGAAGTTAGATTCTTTTCTGTTATAAATCTTGCTTTTGCATTCACACGCAACCGCAACCAGATCATTGTTTACATTAAAAAGCTCCAAGAAAAGACCCTTGTGGAATTTTCAAAATGGCTGCATTTCCTAAATGGACCAGTGTAATGTACTGTGGCAAAGCTTGGTCTTGGAGAATGAAATATATTGAGTTTGTAAAAATGCCTTATTTGAGTGAGACTATTTGTTCATCTCATTCATACTGAGTATTCTGCTTGTCAGCAAGCTACATATTTTTCCCAGGCTTGCTGCCTGAGAATTATTTTACTGAAATACCAGTTTTAATGGAGACCCCCCCCCCCAATGTATTGAACTAGTGTAGAGTTCTTCGGGATGTATTTGCTTTCCCTTTTTGGGGATCAGTGACTAATAATTGGAATAGACCTCTTGTTCATTCGTGGAGAGTGGTGATCCATTCTCAGCTAAATACAAAACCCTGTTTTTAAATGTCACAGTAAATACTAAAGAACCATGCAAGCTCTGTGTGATACTGATTTACAACAAAAGATATTATTCTAACCCTACCAAAAACACATATTTTGTTTGTATTAAACTACTTTAAATTGGTGTTTGTCTCCCTCCTGTATTTTTATCCTCAATTTTAATTTGGCTGCCATCCTACTCATCAGTTAAACTTACAATGAATTCAATTGTGCTTGCTTTGGTGTTGAAATTTACCACCATATCATCCTGGATACACTAATATCAACTGGATTGGAGACAAAGTCATATCAGGTTTTGTTATTACTTTGGTGGGAGACCAAGATATAGTGCCAGGAGTTAGGAAAGAATCCTGCCTGAAACTTCTAGAAGGCTGTTGGTAAAGTTGACAGTACTGTGGCTTGCATAGTCCAAGCATCTGAGGCAGTTTCTTATGTTCCTACGATGATGCTGGCATACCTGGAAAGCTCAGATTGAGAATGGACATTTTGTTTTCTTCCTAATCAAGATTCTCTTTAATAGTTGTTGGTGCTAGTTTTACTTTTGTAAGCCAAAGGAAGAAGACACTCGTACTAGTCTCTGTGTTTTCCCATCAACACTAACTGCCTGGCGATTCCACTATGATATGGTAAAGGTGGAAATTCTAGTTTTTTTCCTTGCTCCAGCTCTACCCATTTTATAACACTGTTTATTATTGAATAAACATTTTATATTCTTAATTTCTTCACTGGCCTAATTTCATTTTACTAAGCTGCTTGGGAATTGTGTTCACCATTTATAGGTAGTATAGTTAGACAGTTCATTCAGGATGTATTTTAATAAATTTACAGGGTTAGCTTTTTCAAGTAGGAATGACATTATGAAGACCATTATAATCTATGGGATTTATCTAGTTGCTGTAGGACATTCCATCATAAAATATGTTTGTGGACATTTCTATTGTATTCATCTTATTGCATTCACTACTGTAGATAGGTGGATGGGAAGAAAGTGGATAGGAAAAGCATCAGCTCATTTGAGATTTGGTGCTCAAAAAGAGTTCAACAGATATGATCTGCTTCAAAGACAAATAATTGTGTCTTAGAGCAAATTGTCTGAACTAGAAACCGTGATGATTAAACTGAGGTGGTTGTATTTTAGGCATAATATGAGAAGAAATGTATCAGTAAAAAGGACAATGATGCTTTCTAAGGTAGAAGGCAAGGAAAAGGGGGGGATTGCATTCCAGATGGACAGGCAATCAAGGAAGCCACAACACTAAATCAACAGTTGAGTATGGAAGAACATGGAGGTTTCTCATTCATTGGGTTGTCGCAAGTCAAAGTCGACTTGAGGGCAGTTAATAATAAACAGCCTTGAATACCTTTTGGAAGGAAAAAATGTAGCATTATAATGTGAATGTATTCTTTCTTTCTTTTATCTTTTAGTTCTACTACAAGAGAAAAGCAGGAAAGATGCCGTAATTACAATGTTCCATTTCCTAGGTTGATTGTGTAGGATATGGATTTTAAAGAATAGTTAACCAAAAGTATTTAAGGAAGCAATGTTCCTTAAATATTTTTATATGTAGCAAATGTCTACCAAAACATAATATTTAATTATGTACTATTGTTTTGAAGTGAATTCTCTCCTCCAAAAGGAAGCATGTATATAATTGAATGGCCCTTATTCCATTTTTAAATCAGATACATCACAGATCAAATAAGATTGCAAATTATGTCTGGATTATCTGAGTCAACACTTAGATAGATTGATGTCAGAGAGAAGTTGTGCAAGGGTGGAGCAGTTTCCAATGCACAAACTCTTAAAGGCTCAGCACAGTGGGGTTCTGTTTAATCACTTCATACTGGGAAGCCGGCCATTTATTTTAGGTGCCTAGCAACTCAGTGTAGATACCAGCTAAGCTGATATGAATAGAATGAAGCTTCTTTAGTTTCATCATCCTCAGTGAAAATTAATAAGCTTACATCCAAGTGCTTAGATTTAGCAAGCAGTGTTAAGGGCTGAATTGTTAAGTTGAAAGACAAAGCTAATATAATGCAACTTTGTATATATTATATGTACTTGAAATGAATGGGGAAATGCCTGACTAGCATTCCTCCATGTTATTTTGCAGCACAATGAGTAAAATAGACAAAGCTGTAAAAAAAGATGTGTTTTTATTTTAGCTTACATGTGATTTGGTCTAGATCCATGGAATATTCTTCCATGTGAAATTTTTGTGAGATGTGTAGTCAGCAGCATGAAAAGAGTTTCGAGCAGAGGAAGTTACTTTTGTTCTATAGCTGCAGTGGAAAATATTTCCACTGTTGACCTCAAACCAGGGTAACTTCACAATCTTCACTGGGTCCTGGTAGCTGTAGGGACTACCAACATTAGTGAAGGTAGAAACACTACTCAGTCATCTACTAGAGAGATTGAGAGCAACTTCTCATTTATAAAATATTTTATAATATTTTGTGTGTCAACATACAAACACTTCCCAAGAGTCTATTTTGACAGACAGCTCAGCAGTATGTCTTCTGAAAGTAATCTCTTACTCAGGTATATATTCCCTTAACAAGAAGAGCTCAGAAGTATTCAACACTCTGCAGTTTGAAACCTTCTCACTGGCTGTTCAAAATAGCTGGAGATTTGTGTCACTACCTGACCTGAATTTGTTAATTCAAAAAAACAAATAAAACAGAATTATTTGATTTAGAAGAATTATTTGTTACATCCACTTTTCCTCCCAAGAAATGCAAATGTTCATGGTTTTCCTTCAATATTTTATTCTTACAACAGGGATAACAATATAAGATAGGGAAATAAGGAATGACCCAAGGCCAGCAACTGAGATGCCTGGCTAAGTAGCCATTTGAATCTAGTTTTCTTCAGAGCTAGACCCAAACCCTAAACAGTGTCAGCTTTCACCAATTAAAGCATCCCTTTTACAATAAAATTTCAACACAAACAGATTTTTTTTAGGCTTTCCCATTTGATATAGCAAGGAACTGTATGCACCTCAATTCATTGTCAGATGAATGGAAGAAGAGAGCCAAAGTGGTGCAGTTGTTTGAACATTAGACGGAAACTCTATAGACCATGGTTCAGATTTCTACAGAGCAATGGAAACCTACTGGATGTCCTTGCCCAAGTCATACTCAGCCTCAGAAGATGCAAACACAAACCTACTTGGAACATACCTTGCCAAGAAAACCCCATGATAGGTTTGCCTTAAGGTTGACTTAAGTCAGAAATTGCTTGAAGGTGTACAACAAACACAACAGCGTGAAAGAGACATCATGTTTGACATAGGAGATAAAACAGTTGCATTGACAATCTATATCTGAACATTTATAGCATTGCTATCAGTTTCATCATCACACCAACAGAAAGGGAATGTTCCACAACATGGCTGAAGCCATGGCTTCCATATAATATTATATATATCAAACTGTTCTGGGACAGGAGTGAGTGTTTCTTGATGTTCTCTTATAGCTCTTTCAGCATGACTTAGAATGGTGTTAAACAGTGGCTCAGTTGTCGGTGACAAGGGATTGGCTTCAGAAGGGTCGCGCGAGAGATCAAAAAGCAAGGGAGGATTGTGATGGGTAATACCATCTCCAAAACATGGGCAGATTTTTCTGTTATAACAGGCACCAGCACCCTCTGGATGAAATTTGGGAGACACATAATGAACTTTCCAGAGAGCACCACCTTAAGAGAGAATAAACAAAAGATGTAAGATTTCCTAAACAGCAGGTCTTTTTTACTTCCATTCCCTGTTGAAAGATTGTTTAAAAGAGTTAAACAGTACATGAGGCTTGGCCATAGCTGAAGCATTACTAGCTCCTGCAGAAGGAAGAAAGAATGGCTTTCTATGAGATGGGTCCAGGATTATGGTTCTAGAAATAATCTGGCAGTGCAGTCTTTGAGGTATTCAGCTGACATATTAGAATAAGTCTGTCTTGTTGAAGAAACGTTAGTTAAAATGAGAGAAAGGAAATTCGAAACAAAAGTTTGAAGCTTGAGAAATTATCAGCTGGAATTCTGATGGATACACTGATAGTTTGAATATTCACAAGTTTGTATTAGGAGGCCAGCAGTATCTCCTTACACATTTGCGTTCACATTTGTCTACAGTAGGCCAGTATATGTGTATAAAGAGTTCTGCCTTCCTTCACAGCCTGTGTTTGGCTGTGCAATGCGCTGAGGCATTACCGGCAATTCTGTCCTAGGTTGCTGTGAGTTTTCCGGGCTGTATGGCCATGTTCCAGAAGCATTATCTTCTGCTCTGGAACATGGCCATACAGCCCAGAAAACTCACAGCAACCCAGTGATTCCAGCCATGAAAGCCTTTGACAAAACAATTCTTTCCTGGATTTAGTGGTCCATGCAGACTTGCCCTTAATGAAAGCTTATGCTACCAGCTTTTTTCTCTCAGTCTCTAAGATGCTACAAGGTCCGTTTTCATATTAGTGAATTGTATGTTTATGTATGAAAATTTGAGCCTCTTTATATTCTGTTTGCCATCCACAGGGTGGATTTTGTTTTTTCTTAGTTTTATAGCCAACAAAGTTACCTCTATAATGTTTTTTTAAAAAATATCAATTTTAGCTGCAAGCAGAGCTACTACACATGAGAAAGAGGATTTGGGATTCACCATATGCCTGGAACACTCTTTCCGGGCATTTAACCTCTTTAACTCCAAGTAAAGCAACTGATTTGGATGCAATTGATGGATTTTCTCTCCTCCTATATCTACATTTGTTCACACCATAGGCTATTGTATTTGTATAGACTATCTGCTTTCTTCCACCAGAGGGGCCATATAACCCAATTGACCATGTTCAGGCTAAGCGAAATGTTTTCTTCACCGATATACATCAATGTGCTACAACATTTTGTACTCACTCTCTTTCTGGTACCAGCGCACTGCATGCAAGTATGCTCCACAATAGTGAAACATGAATTCATGCTCTGAGTGTTTCACTTTTCCCTGAAGTAAAGCTATCTGATTTTTGCCATCAATTACTCTAAGATGAAAGAGAAAATAAATTGAATAAAATACTTTATTGATGATCGCTAATACTTAAAATACAGTTAAGGAGAAAAAATAAAATAGGATCTTTTTTCAGCTGTAGGAACTCCAGTGTGCTGAGAGATTTCACACACATGGAATAGGAATTGAACTATTGAATTGAATTGAACTATTGAAGACAATAGTTTTATACAAATGAAAGCACACATTATATCTATTCTGCAGGGACTAAAAATATTTCATTAACTTAAAGCCAATCATTGACATAGGACAACATTAGACATGAAAAGTCCCAAAGAGCTTCATCAACAGACATAGCTGCAATGACAAAGTCTGTCATTATAGTTACTTCTGCTGATGCCACCCCACGCCATATCTATCTCTTGCACCAAGCACTTCCACAATTGAAGAGGTTTGAGGCACTGCAGATCATGGTGCTGGGAAATGATGACCACAGCACTCTTCCAGTCTCAAGATGCATTGAGATAAGCAGGCATTTGTCTCAACAATAATAGAAGAGTACAACATATTTGGACATTGGTGATCATACATGTGAATTCAAAGTTATAAGATCATAAGTGTAGTTAAAATTTAACAGGATACCAGGCAAAGATGCAGAAAAATTAGACTATGCTAGAAAGCCCATAGAATGGATTAGATGAGATGGACTTCGTTTACATTGTTGAAATTAAATATTTACTTTTACATCAATATTCTGTACCTGTCCTGTGGCACTGATGCCCCAGCTAAGTGCGCCACTGTGGGATAAATATCCATCAGACTTATGGGTTCATTAATGGCAATATTGGCAGGGATCATTCCTGGCCATCTGACTATTCCAGGCACACGGATTCCTCCTTCCCAGCCTCCCATGGCTTTCCCACCTGCATGGACAAAGCAAAATAAGACAGATACATCAGTCAGTTTAATCTCACAGTTCAGAATTTATGCCGATTAGCTGTTTAAGTCATATGAAAGACTTCCTGTTAACTCATTTTAGCAGAAAGCCACAGAACCTAAAGGCTACTTCCACATACTTAATCCCTTGCTACATTAAAGGCCTTCACCGTGGGATTCCTGCTCTGCTATCATTGGCCACAGGTTCATGCTATCATTATCATTAGCTATCATGATATGTAACAGATTTCAGAGATCATAATGGCTATGTACTCTCACTTGTGATTGCAACACTATTTCCACAACTTTCAATGACCATGAAGCTTGTTTTAAAAACCAGTATTGGTGGTCTGTGCTTTTGATGAGGAGGACCCTGCAGGGGAAGTGGAAACCTGTCTCCTGCTAAAGAGTGAGGCTGCAATGAAGAGTTGTGACAGGATAGCACAGAAGTCCTTTCTCCTCCTTCTTGTAGCATCACTCACTGGCAGAAGAAGCAGGCAATATGACCTTGTAGTATCCTGCTTACAAGTAGCACATACTTTCCATATTTGTGGGGCTGTTTAGGGATGTTTCCGAGGTCATAAGGAGAAATAAAGTATAGTTACAACATTGTGACTATGCATTTGATGCAGGATCTCAGTCAATCCCCCTGATGGTGCAGTGGGTTAAACCGCTGAGGTGCTGAACTTTCTGACCGAAAGGTTGGTGGTTTGAATCCAGGGAGCAGGGTGAGCTCCCGCTGTTAGGTCTAGCTTCTGCTAACCTAGCAGTTCAGAAACATGCAAATGTGAGTAGATCAATAGGAATTGCTTTTGCAAGAAGGTAATGGCACTCCATGGAGTCATGCTGACCACATGACGTAGGTGGTGTCTATGGACAATGCCATCTCTTTGGCTTATAAATGGAGATTTACACACCCCCCCCCCCCCAGAGTCAGACATGACTAGACTTAATGTTGGGGAAAACCTTTACCTTCACCTTTACTCAGTCATCATTTTAATTCATAAACTTTGTTGAGTCCCAGTGTGGGGAAAAATATCCATGGTATTTATTTGCCCTTACAGATGGAACTGCCCTGGGCAGATAAAGGTGGTGGCAAAGAAAATTTTGGGCAGCTTGTGGACAGTGGAATAACACAGGGGATACAAAAGATTATATGGACAGAAGCACAGAGCTCTGTATGTTCAAGAGTTGGTAGGGTAAGGGAACAGTCTTCCAAAAGGCAGAATGCTGAACACAGTGGAGAGGGAGATGTGAGCCAGGAAAAGTGTGTGGAGGATGTGAGAATGAGACTGCTAATAACAATTTGTCTAAAAAGACTCATACTTCACAGTTATGGAATTTGTCTTGTAGAAAGATAAATAAGGAGAAGCTTTCATGAGTACTGATTTCTTCATAATGAGGCTTAATTTCCATATGACCGGTGAATTGATTACACTCTATCATCTAGTGTTCCTTTTTATTGTTAGATAATTATTTCTACAAAAATGGAAGGAGGAAAACTTATCTGCCTACTCTTGCAAAGGGACTGTTTTAGGAGATGCATGATCACTCAATAAAGCTTCTGTTACCCACTCCAAAGGAGTCCATATCTTCATGAAACATGCAAGAGAGGGTTTTCCATTTTCACCTTACTAGGGAAGATGGACAACTTGTGACAATGGGTTATACATACAGTAACATTAACATCGACAGTAATATTCTATATCAACTTAAGCTTCCTTATCAAAGAAAGCCCTTAACACACTAGAGTAACTCAAATAGAAGGTGCAAGTACACAGATAATTGGAGCAAATTATTGTACCTTTGTATATACTGTTCCAGCCACCACACTGAGTGCTCCCTTCTCTGAGCTCCAAAGATCCTCCATTGTCAGAAGCAAAGTAAACAAAAGTGTTGTCTCGTAAGCCATCTTTGTCAATGGCAGTAAGTATTTTTCCTACATAGGTAGGGATGGAAACATGGTTAGTTATATCCATGCAGAGTCTTTATTTGTAGAATTGAGTTTTGACAGTACAGGCAGTCCCCAACTTACAAATAAGATAGGTTCTGGAGTATTGTGTGGTTTCCGGACTGTATGGCTGTGTTCTAGTAGCATTTTCTCCTGATGTTTCAGAGGCATCTGTGGTTGGCATCTTCAGGAGATCGTGGATCCTTCTTCCATGTTGCATGAGTCAAGAAGGAGGATGAGAAGGGGGTGTGTGGAAAGCCCCTCTTGGTTCTCCTATCCTCCTTTGTGAATCATATGACATAGAAGAGGAAAGATGACCCCCAAGCTAACTTAACCTAATTTGGGGGTGAAATCCATGTTAAGTGGCCTTCTCTGGGTTCAGCCTGATCAGTTTTGTAGTTTCCCACAGGCTGATCCAATCTCATATTCACTTAAATGGTCAGTGTAGATGGAGGCAAAAGTGAAGTGTCTCGTATATGATTACAAATGTTTATAGTGAAATTCTTTCAGAGAGATAAGGTATCTTTGAGATTTATGAATCTTTGTTTCCAAATGTTTGCAGATCAGGTGCTACAGTAAATATTATTCTTCCACAGACAAGACAAATGTATCAGGACATTGCTGTATTTGGTGCTGTATTACCTCTTTGTTTTGTTTTTTTAATATCCAGGCAATATTTTTATTGTTCCAGACATTTTTCTGACAATTATCAATATTTACTATGGCATTGCATTCCCATCTCAATGCCTTTTTATTTGAAGACATATCAAAACAATATGTTACTTTATGTTTATTTCCTTCCTTCTCCCCTTCCTATCTTTCTCTCTGTTTTTTTACAGTGCTATACAAATGCCATATTGCACTTAAACTCTACATTTTTAAATAAATACACACATTAGAGAGGGAAATATTTTCCCTTCAAACATAGGACTTCAGAGAAATCATGCCTCTTTAATCAATCCAAAAAAAGCCCATCAACAGTGAGAAAAGTACAACTCCAGGAAGAAAAAAATGGGCTCCAAGAAAGGTATTACTTTGATTCAAATCAGTTGCTAATCCCAATCACCGTAGATTCACTGAATCAATGAGATGACTTTCTGGACAGCAATTGATTTAATCCACCTACTCCAGTTAAGACTAAAATTTGGACATTGGCATTATTTCCTGGATAAATATAACTAATTTTTTAAACGACTACTCACCCACCATCCAATCCATTTCCTCCACATTGTCTCCATATAAACCATGACTACTTTTTCCACGAAATAGCTCTGTAGTGTAGCATGGAGTGTGGACGTGTAAGAAAGAAACAAAGAGGAGGAATTGTCCTTGTTTGTTTCTGAAAATTAAAAAAACACCTTCAACTCTTTAAAAATATAAAAATAATGAGATTCAAGGATGAGCACCTATTTTAATATGCTGACTACATATATGAATCAAACATTCATCATTCTGCTGTCTATTCATTTAGATTGAGGGATGGAAGGGATCCATGAGTAGTGGCCCTTTCATATTATAATTATATCAATATGATTCCATTTTAACTGCCATTGTTCATTTCTATAGAATTTCAGAATTTGTAGGGATTTTAATAATACTGCCAGGTATGGAAGGAAAAGTACAGAATATACTAGTACAAATATGTACTAAAGATCTTGAAAAGACAAGTCAATATTAATTAGTGTCTGGAAAGCATACTCATGGTGATTTAAAATCTGATTCATACAGAAGGATGCTTGGGCTCACCTTAAGCACTAACTTGATAAAATGTTCTAAATCAGACCACTTCTATCAAATGCACAAAGCTTACTTACATATGAATTATATAATTTGATTAGTTACCTTTCAATAAATGAGATAGCCTCCTTCAATATCTTGAAGGTTACATTCTCGACTTTTATTGGTTGTTCAACAACAATGTGTTCCTTCATCAGGATACAGTCCCAATATCTTGAAAATCCATAACAAGAAAACCAGATGATAAAAAACAAAATGTCACACACAGCAACAAAGGCAATTGCTTTCCATTTCAGAGAGGTCATGCCAGAAATGTTCCCCAGCAAAAGAGTGAACACCAAGAGAGAAATCAGTTGTGTATAAGACCAACACGAAGCTCGTAATTGTTTACTTATCTCAGGATCCTTGCCAGACTGACATTCATTCAGAAATGTTAAAGGTGTGCCATAGAAGTAATCAAAGCCATGATTTAAAGGATGATGGCAATGATCATTGCGGGATTTGCAGCTCACACCCTGGTGCCATTTTCCTGGAAAAATAAAATTTGATATAATTCAACCTATCATCACTTCAAAAGTGATGTATGCCTAGAAACAGGGAAGAAAAACAAAATTTCAAAATAAATATATTTTCGATTTCTGGTTTGTAATGGATATGCATGTTTTGAGGTTGATAGAACAACTTTTGCCCCCCTTATCTCACTGGGGCTTTAACATAGACAGCTCAATTCTTCTGTCATGAGTAAAATTCTGTGAAATGTAGTTTAGGGTGGGGCCTTTTGAATACTCTGATACAGAGGTCCTTGCCTTCCCAAACTACATTTCCCAGAATTCTGCTCACACCAAAAGAACGGGGCTGCCTACATTAAAGACCCAGTGTGATAAGCTGTTGGAATGAAGTGCCGTATGTCTGTCGCTAGTGATACAGAGAGTTGAATACAAGAGCACCAATGCTGAAAACACACTGATAGCCACCTTGAACCTTATTGAATGTATTTATAAAATGAAACAGAATGATTAAAAGAGGTGCACAAAAGGCAAGATTTATGGTGGTTCTGCCTTAATGGGGGTGGGGGAGAAAATCAGCAGGCAGAACCTCAGCATTTGATACATAAGGCTGTTTTACTGCATAACAAATATTCAGGGATTGGTCTATTGGGAGCATGGGTGATATTAACTCTCAATAAATCAAGATGTGATGAATTTGTGAGTGTACCATATGGCTCTACTGTAGAACTGGACTTCAGTGCCTCAAATGTGGTATGTGCCATAGAAATCAGGATATCTTGGAACCCTCACAAATCCAGTTGTTAGTCCCAAGTAGACTAAATATACTAAATCATTGGAAAGTCAACACTAACATACATTCCACTAAGTCAGTCTACTCTAAATGGCACTAGCAATTGGATTTATTTAGGTTACAAGACTTACTTCTGTTTACACATGTAGTAGAGGGCAAGGGTGTGTGTGTAGTGATTTGATTTGTTGTATGATATTTTCAACTTAAGATGATGCTAATGTGAAACTATTACAAGTTGGGTTTTTGTTGTTGTTGCATGATCTGTTTAGAGAACTTTTGTCTTTGAGGCTGACAGAGTATGATGACCAAGGTCGCCCAGTGAGTTTACATAGCTGATGAAGGAGTCCAACATTAAAATCACTTCTCAACACTGGTTTTCTGAACAATGAGTACTTTGGAAAACTAGAGTTTAACTCCCTGCTTGGCCACGGAACACAGTAGGTAACCCCCTGGACAAGTCACACTTTCTCAACCTCAAAGGAAGATAATGGCAAACTTCATCTGAATACATTTTTAAGACATTATATGTTCATGTCAGTGTTACTCTAAGTCAGAAATCACTTACTTTTTGATTAATCATCTCTATAGAAGATCATCTTGTAAAATAGGTGGATCTGAAACTTCAGGTCAGACTCTATAGTTTTGCAATGTCTATGATGAATAGTGAATCACATCCACATACTGTACCTATAAGACCAGTTGTATAGCCTTGCTGCTGTAGTAACTTAGCAAATGTTGTTTCATTTGGAGGGAGACCACCTGAACTCCCAGTTCGGATGAAGACTTGGGGCTCAGTTCTGGCTGACATGCCTAAAATTCAACAGGGGTAGAAAAATTAAATTTGTCTCAATATAATCTGCTCTTAGAACTTCATCACATGCCACCTTCTCATTGTCTTCTCACCGTTTCTCTTCACTGCTGAAATGAGGTACCACAGAGGCCATCACATGATGCAGGGCCACTTCTGGCAGAGCAACAGAGAGAAGACTGCATTTTCAGGAGCCAGATGCTACCTGATTCCCAATTGCAGAAGATGGAGAGAATATGGAGAGAAGCGGGGAAAATCAGGGAAAAGATGTGGGATGGCTGCCATCCTTGAAGATGGAAAGGCATGGGACTTCAACAGTAGGAAATGAAAGAAGATAGTTCTCTCTGCTTTCTCCAGTTTTCCCTCACTTTCATGTGATGAGGTCCACATCTTTCCTGATGTGAGAAGTGAGTGAAAGGAAATATTTTGATCTTGTGAAGTTATCAATTAAGTTGTATGAATATTGGTTTGCCTCAGTAGATGGGCAAACTGGAAGATATGTGCTGTACTTGCTAGCTGAGTTCACAAGGAGAGGGAGAGCTGGAGCTTAACAGAACTCGAGGCAGAGATACAATAGCTGTATGAAGTGTCTCTCTGAAAGCCATATAGGCTCCAAGATCTGTTTGTGTGTGGGCACTGTTGACTCGGTCTCCACAATCTATCATCTCACAGACTTTGGAATGCACAAAAGACCTACCACGCTTCTCTTGTTGCTTGGTGATATGCACAGCAATCATAGGCCATTTACTTTGTGTAGACTTCATGGATTTAGTGCATAAGGTGTCCCTCACCTTTTTCTCTTGAATGTCAGCAGAACTGTAACATGGATTAATTCACCCAGGAACTACATCAGGGTGATGACAAAGTAATAGACTAAATGTATTCCCACACACTCTAGTCAGCTCTCATTTTCTTTATTCATTCTTCACCAACAAATTATGCTGATGAAATTATGCACTATCACCATCACACATAAAACCAAAATATTATCCTGATCTCTCCTGTGCCAAAGAAGACTTCAGTATGCAGTTGGTTCCCTAGTGGGTTTCAAGAAGGTGCCAACCCAACCCTCCCAATCCCCAAAGTTGCCTAGCCCAATGTACTTCAAAGTGGGTCATGTTTATGACTAAACTGAGAGCCCAGTGCAGCTTTCCCTCTTTATGCATTAGGATGGAATTCTGAATTCCCCCAAGCCACGTGCCCATGTATACTGGTGTCACTAGTGGTGTGTGGACTGCACTGAGTGATACTTTCAGAGAGGATTACAGCAATCATGAAGGTGGGGAGAGTTCAATGCAAAAGTTCTCCACCACAGAGAAAAGGTCAAACCCAGCAAGGAGACCCTCAAAGCTGTATGGATGGCAGGATCCAGCTGGCCTCCCTGCTCTCTTGTAGGCTGGCCATGCTCCATTGCTGCTGTTCCTGTTAACAGTCTGGCTACAATCCTTGGGCAACAGCAGAAGAGAGCCAGTGTGGGAGGAACTGGGCACTGAAGCAAGGACAGTAATGTGTGTGTGTACGTGTTTGCGTCTGACCATACATGTGTGTTCACAATCCCAGAATATAGGAGGGATGGGGCTACAGATATTTCGAAATTGAGCCCCTTTCCCTAAGTACACCTGCCTAGGAACTGCGATCTGCAGGTGGGCATGACTCATCTGTGTCTCATCTGGTACAGGAGGAAATCTGTGAAGGTGACACCATGACTTACAGACATGGGTGACATTAACCTGTCACTGGCCATGCATTTTTTAAAATGAAGAGTTTCACCCAAGGTAAATATTTGAGGGATGGAATACTTGTCTATAAGAAGACCCATTCCCATACTTTTTATAAACAACCAAATACCATGAAATGAAATTAGGAGTGAGCAGTTCTGTTGGATTTTGTTAGAAGCCAGAAAAATGTTTCAAGAGGGACCCATAATTGATGGGAGGTAGGGTGAAGCTGACCATCCCAGCACCCTCTATTAATGCTCGTCCTTGGTGAGCATGTAGATAAATCATTGAAGATGCTGCCAACCTGATCTGATGGGATATCTGCCAGTCAGAAAAGCTGCTCTGCTTGGGGTACAAAGTGGAGCTGCTGCAATGTGCTGAGTAAGTTTTGCTCCTTCCTTTGCAAGCTGGTCGATATTAGGGGTCCTAAAAAAGGAAGTAATAACTTCTGATTTCGTAGTATATTCTTCTCTTCAAGATAATAGCAAAGAAAGAACAACTAAAGCAATATGAAATTATATAAAATAGATTTATATAAAAATCAGTTAATAATACTGTACAAAAATTCAATTTTCTTAATAAACAAAGAAAGGCCTTGCATCTCCTGCCAGAGTACTATAATAATACTGTGGGACATGATTAGCCTATAAACAACATTGCTGTGAGGAATGCATAACTCCACAGTGGACAAACTCATAGAAATTTGAGAAAAACTTTCCCAAGTCATCCTTACGAGGAACAACTTATTTATTTATAGTATTTATATTCTGCCCTTTTCATCCCTAAGGGGGACTTGGAGCGGATCACAGAACACATAAATATTAAACATTAAATGCTGATTATATAATGACAAGACAGACAACTCAGCTACCCTGAGTCCCTCCTCGGAGGTTGAGAAGAATGGGGTATAAATGGTCTAAATAAATTATACATAGATAGAGGTATATATAAGCTTTCCAATCTTTGGCGTCTTGGAGGCTGTGCTTGGTTCCAGTCATCGGGGGTGTGTGTGTGTGTTAAGGGGTGTGCTGTCACTCCATTTTCCCTGCCAAAAAGCTTTTTTGTTCATAAGCTTCCTCCTTTTCATTGAATCACTGGCATTTTTCTGGCATTCCTTATGGGGTGCATGAATGCCTCCTTGCTTTAACGAGGTACCTGTTTCTCTACTCACATTGCTGCTTTCGATCTGCTAGGTGGGCAGTGAGATGGGCTGACAGCCAGGAGCTCACTCTGACCCAGGCTTCGAACGGTCAACCTTTCAGTCGGCAAGATTTACTGCAGCTGGTGGTTAACCTGCTGTGTATAGCTGGCTTGCAGCTATAACATGAGGAAATTACTGAGAGTTGATACAACAACTATATTTAAACATGTGAAGGAATGTCATATAGAAGAAGGAGCAAGCTTGTGTTCTGCTGCTCCAGAGATTAGAGCATGAAACCATGAATTTAAGAAAAGAGATTTCATTTAAATTTCAGGAAGAACCTCTTTTTCATGTAATAGATGTTTAACAGTGGAATAGATGTGGGGAACTCGCCATCTTTAAACAGCTTTGATGGACATCTTTCAAAGGGACTTTAGTTGTGTATTCCTGTATGGCAGTGGATTGGGCTAGTGTACTCTTATGTGCTAGATAGCACGTCTGGCAGGGACGAGAGACAGGGACTTCTCTGTGGTGGCCCCTCAGCTGTGGAACTCCCTGCCTAGGGATATTAGATCAGCCACCTCCCTCCTGACCTTCCAAAAAAGAGTAAAAACTTGGCTCTTCGAGCAAGCATTCGGAATCCCGGAATAAATAGACAAACTATAGTTGGAAAATGACCCAGGAACGGCCAAGACAATGTAATGGATGAGGATTTGTACGAGAGGACATAGTTCTTTTAAAATTGTTATTATGCACTGTCTTTAATGTTTAATTGCACTTAATGTATGTATTTTTACGGCATCGAATTGTGATGACTGTGTATGCCGCCCTGAGTCGCCTTCGGGCTGATATGGGCGGGATAGAAATAACGTAAATAATAAATAAATAAATAAATAGCCTTTGTGGGCCTTGCGAATTCAAAGATTTGGTGATTCTATGAACATCTGGCAGCTATCTTATAATCATAGGAAGATGATATATAAATCCCAATTCAGAGGAAAAAGATAAGCAGGGAATTTAGTGATGACATTAACAAAGTTTGGGTAAGGACTGCTACTCATAATACATGTCCAGACCAAAGGGGAAAATATTTCTCATCAAGCCCAGCTTTCAATTCCTTCTAGAAAATAACCAATCAAGTTAATCTTTCAAAACACATCCTGAGTAACAACACAGTCTTATGCCACTACAGCAATAGTCCCATACAGTATTCCCAACACCCACTTCTCTCTAAACCTTGAACCACCTGTTGACTATGTTTGTACTAATTGCTTTATTTCCGTGGTTTCTTTCAAAGTATAATGGGGATGTGTGTGTGTGAATGCATGGCTATTTTATTTTGAATTTCTGTGACATCTTGCTTCCTTCAGTAACTTTTGCAAATGTTCTTATGTGGATGCATTTCCTTACTTCCTCCTTTGGAATGATAGGATAGCCCCAACTTCTATTTAAGATTAGACTTACCTGATAGTATCATTTCCAAAGCATCCTAAATCACCATACCCAAGATCATCCACCATTATCAACAAAATATTGGGTTTCAAGACACTCAATCCATATGTTTGAAGAAAGAAGGAAAGTAGCACAGTAGCTAGACTGCATCTAGAGGAACAGCATTAAACCATTTAGATAAGAAATTCCTAAAACCAGATTATCTAAAAATTAGGCTTTTTTGCATAAGGTCCCAAGATCAGTAGAAGTAAATAACGTTAATCAGGAACTATGGACAGTATTTGTCAATAATACTACATGATATTACATTTAATTAACTAGTGAATTTATTTAGTATAACTTCTTATGAAAATTACCTTCTGTCATTGTCCCAAGATTTCTTGGGAATAGTATCTCCTCTCATTAGAAATACTCATGTTTCTTTTGGACAGTCTTTTAAATTTGACTATGAAATACCCATCCAGGATACTCTTATTTTCAGGCACAAATAAATAAATCAATTGCCACCAATAAACACTACATACCAATTTTGTTTATAAATTAACCTATAATTTAAGATTAGCTAAAGGAGAACAGAAAGCAGATCTATTTGATAAAGTTTGTAAACCATTTATTAGTTTCATGTGTAAAAGCAATTGTGAATTTAAACCACCAAATATCCAAGAAAGATTGTGGTTGTGTAATTTATGAATACATTACAATAGTTATATGCAATGGATAAAATTAGAATATATAGAAGTATTAGAATCAACAGTGCTGTATTTTTATAATGTTATCTGAGTAATGGGAGGGTTGGGGAGTATAGATCTGGGAATTAAAGGTGAGATAAAACATTTATTAGTATTGTGTTTCAAATGTTTAAAGTATGTACAATAGAGTCTTGCTTATTCAACATAAATGGGATGGCAGAATGCTGGATAAGCAAAAATGTTGTATACTAATGAGGGATTAAGAAAAAACCTATTAAACACCAAATTACATTATGATTTCACAAATTAAGCACCAAAACATCATATTTTACAACAAATTGACAGAAAAAGCAGTTCAATACACAGTGACGTTATGTAATAATTTCTGTATTTACGAATTTAGCACCAAAACATCACAATGTATTGAAACAGCTGCAGATCTGGGCAGGAGGCAGACTGCATTGGAAAACACAGAATGTTGGATGAGCGAAGGTTGGATAAGCGACACTCTACTGTATTTAATAAAATAAAATAAATAATACAGAAATAATACATAATGGTAATTAACTGGTAAGGATAGGATGTTCCCTTGAAGATGTGAAATTGTTGTTTGGAAATTACCATCACCATCATTATTTAATTTACTCAGAAAAGGAAAGTGGTATTTGCATGCTATCAGAAAATCCATACAAAGTCATAGTTTCACTGTAAATTATTCCATGGTCGGAAAGGATAGAGATGTGCATATGATAGTCCGTCACATTGGCCATAATTAACCATCTCACAGCACCAGTTCTCTTTCAAGTGAGCCAGAGCTTGAATTACTGCAGAAACCATAATCATATGTGCAAAAATAATCCCCATTAGAGTTCAGCTTTTCATGCTAAAGCCAAGATGATAAAGGTACCATCTATGGGTTGCAGGTGGCATGTATGGCACATGAGCCCACTAAGAATCTGTTTGCAACTCCTGACAATTCTAGAACTCCATTCATCATTTGGGCAGCTGAATGATTTCATGTCACCACACAAAAAAGTTGCCAAAATGTGATGGTTTTGATTCTCTTGCCCACCACAAAACCCAGATACTAGGGGGAAAAACTGTATCTGGGGAAAAAAAACTGTTTGACTTTTGATAAGTTCTAGAACCAGAAGTGCCATGATGTCACCAGCAGCTGTTTCAGAGGTGATATCAGAGAGGAACTCAGATAAAAAATCCTTAATCATTTATAAGGATAGCACTCAAGTGCTCCTTCAGAAAAAGCCCAGTGCCTCTTTAGTGTAGGACTGAGATCCCTCCTTTGTATGCTGAAAAGAAATGCTCACTCTTACTCATTGCTTCCCATTTACCACAGAAAGATGGGGGAACTAAGGGTGAACGAAAGAGCATTTTAATAATTTTAGGATTTACCTGCACAGCACACTCATTCATTCATAAGGCAGAAGCAACTTCTAACAACTGACAAAAACTTCTAACAAACTATAATTGGTCAGCACTTAAAAGAACTGCAAATATTTGCCTTGAGAAATAAACTCTTTCTTACCTGGAAGGCCCACACTTCAACCTATTGAGCATCATTGGCAATTCGTTGTTTAAAAGGAACAGCCTCCAAGTTTTGCCTACATTTTTGAAAGCTCTCTGTTTTTTATATAAATTTAGTGACAATGCTTTAGTTAAAAATTGACAGGAAATCTTGAACCCATCGTACAAAGTCCTTCCTTTGAATCCTGCTGTACTAATCATGTTACATCATCTATTCAACTGACTTTCCCCCGTTTCTCTTGCTCTTTTATTCAATCACTTCAAGAACTGCTTCAGTTCAAACCACATGTTATGTTAAACATGTATTGTGCAGTGTAAGCCTTTTATACTCAATAATAATAATAATAATAATAATAATAATAATAATAATAATACTTTATTTATACCCCGTCACCATCTCCCCGGTGGGGACTCAGAGTGGCTTACATGGGGCCGAGCCCAGACAACATTACAATGAAATAAAACAAAAACATAAACGACAATCAACATAATCATCAAAATTACATAAAAAGAAAGGAAAAGAACAACAACATTCCAATAACACAATCACGATAACAGTGGGTGGGCCGCATGTACAGGATAAAATAGTTTAAAAGCTCTAATGAGATGAAATAGGAGCAAGTTATTTGAAGGAATAAGATGCAGACTCATCCATTTCTGCATCAGTAACCCTTCCACTGATCTGTTTTCTACTTTAAAAACCTCACTGCAACCAATGGACGAACCCAGAGGGTGCTCACCAATGCTTCCTCTTCATCTTGGAAAGAAGTGACAAGTGGAGTGCCGCAGGGTTCCGTCCTGGGCCCGGTCCTGTTCAACATCTTTATTAATGACTTATTAATGAAGGGTTAGAAGGCAGGATCATCAAGTTTGCAGACGACACCAAATTGGGAGGGATAGCCAACACTCCAGAGGACAGGAGCAGGATTCAAAACGATCTTGACAGATTAGAGAGATGGGCCAAAACTAACAAAATGAAGTTTAACAGTGACAAATGCAAGATACTCCACTTTGGCAGGAAAAACGAAATGCAAAGATATAGAATGGGGGATGCCTGGCTCGAGAGCAGTACGTGTGAAAAAGATCTTGGAGTCCTAATGGACAACAAGTTAAACATGAGCCAACAATGAGATGTGGCAGCAAAAAAAGCTAATGGGATTTTGGCCTGCATTAATAGGAGCATAGTGTCTAGATCTAGGGAAGTAATGCTACCCCTCTATTCTGCTCTGGTTAGACCACACCTGTAATATTGTGTCCAATTCTGGGCACCACAATTCAAGAGAGATATTGACAAGCTGGAATGTGTCCAGAGGAGGGCGACTAAAATGATCAAGGGTCTGGAGAACAAGCCCTATGAGGAGCGGCTTAAGGAGCTGGGCATGTTTAGCCTGAAGAAGAGAAGGCTGAGAGGAGATATGATAGCCATGTATAAATATGTGAGAGGAAGCCACAGGGAGGAGGGAGCAAGCTTGTTTTCTGCTTCCCTGGAGACTAGGACGCGAAACAATGGCTTCCAACTACAAGAAAGGAGATTCCATCTGAACATGAGGAAGAACTTCCTGACTGTGAGAGCCGTTCAGCAGTGGAACTCTCTGCCCCTGGAGTGTGGTGGAGGCTCCTTCTTTGGAAGCTTTTAAACAGAGGCTGGATGGCCATCTGTCAGGGGTGATTTGAATGCAATATTCCTGCTTCTTGGCAGGGGGTTGGACTGGATGGCCCATGAGGTCTCTTCCAACTCTTTGATTCTATTATTCTATGATTCTCATTCTTTTAAAATTTCAATGTGTGGTATCCCCAAATTTTAAATAAAACTTAGGTAGGGAAGGGTTTGGAGTTTTGTCCTACTGGTAGCAATCTGAATTGCTAGAGATAAACAAAAAAAGTGTGACTTGTCTTGTGCTGCATACTGACCATTTAACATAGTGTTTAGCAAATGGGCTACTTGTTCTTGAGGCTAATTGAATTATAATTGCTGTAATTATTTATCATTGTTGTTGTTAACTTTTATACTTTTAATAGTAATCAAAAGTTGTTCCTATCCCATCCCTATTTACCTAGATTTTATCCTGGAATATTTTCCCCTTATTTTTATTTTTATTTTTTTTAATTTTACACATCTTAATTTTTCTCTTTCTTTCTTTCTTTCTTTCTTTCTTTCTTTCTTTCTTTCTTTCTTTCTTTCTTTCTTTCTCTCTTTCTTTCTTTCTTTCTTTTTTCTTCTTCAATCCACCCCCCCCCATGTTTATTGTAGAAAAAAATCCCTCAATAAAAATTTATTTTAAAAAAATGGTTGGTGACAAGGCATTGGCTTTCAAAAGTTGCAAAAGCAAGGGAGGTTTGTTACGTTGTCCTCTAAAACTGTGGCGTTCTTCCATAAATGATGAGTTTGACAAGTCACAAACTTGATGTTTCTGTGATCACCTTCTTAGGTGCATCCACACTGTAGAGTTAATACAGTTTGACACCACTTTACCTGCCATGGCTCAATGCTATGGAATCATGGGATATGTAAATTTGATGAGGCACCAACACTCTTTGGGAGAGAACGCTAAAGACCTACAACTCCTCTGATTCCACAGAACTGAGTCATGGTATTACACTGTATTAATTCTAAAGTTTAGATTAAGTTTTAGAAAGAACAAACTAATCACATGCAGTGCTAAGATTGAATATACTTCTTCTCTTTACCTCTCTAGCCAGTGGCTGGATCTACACTGCCATATAATGAAGCTTGACCTGCATTATATAGTCAGTTTGGTGTTTGAACAGAATTGAACTGTATTTGGCAGAGTGGATGAGGCCTTTGTCTAAGACAGGGGTCCTCAAACGTTTTAAGCAGAGGGCCGATGCACAGTATTTCAGACTGCTGGGGAGGGGGGGAAATATAGTTTTTGGGGGAAAACGGACAAATCCCTATGCACACTGCACACTTCTTATTTGTGGTGCCAAAAAGGAGTGTAGACTCATATACTCCAATTCAATGCAGTTTAAACTGCCTTATATGGCAGTGTAGATGGGGCCTTGCACAATATAATCATGGAAACATACAATTTTTACGGTTCATCCCCGAAGTAGTTTTGAATAAGAAAGCCGTCCAGCTGTAGAGACTGAACCATATTAAATGGTTCATGCTAACAGAGTATTATCTGTTGACAAGATTTATAAATCTGGTCTAGAGCTAATATTTTATAGGCGTTCTCTGGCGTGCAGATTAAACAGTAATGGAGGGAACATATTGTTTTAGTATATCTCAGAATTAAGGTTTTTATATGAGCTGAAGAGAAACCACAATAACTCAGAATTACAAAGAAACCCACCGAGGAATGAATAAAATGCTGCAAATAATATTTTCTAGCAAATAATATTTGCTAGAAAATAGGCTGGTACAATAAAAACAAATATTTTTGAAAAACCCTCTGAATTACAGCAATGAATACTGAACCCTCCCAATACACTTATCCTATCCAAAGGAAACCATATATATGTTTCCTTGCTCTCTTTCAGAATTGTTTTCAAGGTTGATACACACACATACTTATCTAGTGGTTTCATTCTCAAAGCATCCAAATTATCACTCCCAAGATCATCTATCATGTTCATTAAAATGTTAGGCCTTGACATGTTCAGTTGATAGGCTTGAAGAAATAAGAAAGAATCTAGCTAAATAGCTAGGCTATATCTAGATGAACATGAGAAAAATCTATCTGGATCAGAGCATACTTTGTGTGCAAAAGGTATGAATCTCAATTATTAATATTTGTAGTTAGTGTCTTGAAATAATCTGAAACCCCAGAGAGTGATATTGGACAATACTCTGCAAGACTGACCAGTCCTAAACCCATGTAATGCTTTCTCCTAATATTTTCCTATGCTGAAGATTTCTTAGGGTTGTCAACCTCTTTCCCAACAAACACTCACCTCCTGTTTGGGCATTACCAGGTTCAAAGACAATTAGGAGTATTAATAAGTCAACAAGAATTTTGCACAATTTTCTCCTAGTATTTGAAAATCCTGAAATGTAGCAGAAAAAATGAACTTTTTTTTGCACACATAAAAATGTTTCTGTGCAGAGAATGAATTTAGGGTGCAGAAAAACTATTTTTCTCTACAGAACAATTCATTTACAACATTTGGGATTATATAATATGGGAAAACTATTGCAGAGGATTTGCTTGCTCTCACAGGGCAGAAGGAACTGCCATAATTACTCACCCTAACATTATCCATATTCATGAAACAAAAACTTCTTTAGTGAGACCATAATTGGGAAAGTCTTGTATTCGTTGCTACCTAATAAGACATTTTGAAGACATCAGTGATTGTCTTCAAAATTATTTTTCAGGAGTACTCTTGTGGAAGGTTTTTCCCTTACCTGGAGATCCCATTGTTCCACTTGTTAAGCATCACTAATCTTTTAAATGGTAGGAAATAAAAGAGAGGAACAACTTTTGTCCTTCACTGTTTGTGCAATATCTTGACAAGTGCATCATTGGGCTTAGTACTAATCTTGCTGTAGAACATTGCAACATTAAACTTTGAATAGAATACTATAAATTCCATTCTCTGAAATCTTACAAATCTCTAGTTATTTCTTTTGTTCATGGCAAATACTATCCTAGCTTCTCTAACACTTTTACTGGCTTTGATACCAATCAACCCTAGGAACATATTTCAGTGTTGCAAAGGTTGGTGAGCTATTGATTCTTGAAGGATCAAATGTTCTTGGTTATGCTTCTTAATGATTAACTTGCTGTCTTTAGTTGACAGCTCCATCGCCTTTTCACACTGTTCTTTAACACAGTTGGGAAAGCACTTTTCTTGGTTTTTTTTCCTATGTTTTGAAGTAACAATCTATAAGAAGAAAAACAAACCAAGACCAATTTTCTCTCCCCTCTCCAAACATGGGACTAGCATTATAAAGTCCCTGTAACCCATGAAAGCTAATGTGACTTTTGTTATTTCTCAAAGTGCCAAAGGATTTATTTCTAGTCATGCCATAGAAAGTATTCTCATTTCTGCTGCTACAGAGGTTAATAGTCCACCTTTCTTTTTGTTGTTCCTTTTTTAATTTGATGAAATATGTCATAAGAAGAACCTGCCTGGTGTCTAACTCTGACTGTTG